GACCCTGAAAATTATGTAAACGTTACCGAAACTGTCATCTGATGCCTTGATACAAAATGCGAACAAATTCCATCCATTAGGTTTGGAGATATCGCAAGAATACTCGCTGTGACCTTGAAAATAATCCGAAGGTCACCGAATTCGACTGGCGTTAGACGATACTCCAAACGCATGTTGGTACTACCTTTAAGCAAAACATATTAATTCTGTCTTGTATTTTCGCACTAAAAAGTTAGACATGTGCAAAACACTAAATTCAAGTGGTGTCGGTAAATCTCAAATCTCCAGTCAATAAACCTTGGTACTAAATTTGAACAAAATCCTTCATTTCTTTCTCGAATTCTTTCAGTAAACAGAATGGGGAGTCATTTGAACAAGCGATTGTTGTCTCGAAATTGCTTTTTTGTTCAATTTAATATCTAAGTTTGATTCTAGCCGACTTCTACCAATCTCAAACATAGCATATTTTGTTTCCTGAAGTTTGTGATGCATTTTATTGCAGATTTACGTTTTTTGGGGAGTACCAAGCCAAGATACAAAGTCTCACAAAATGGGGATCGTGAGGCTGCAACATAGCAAAACCAATTTGCTTGAGGCTGACAGATAATATGTAGAAAAATAAAACATAAAAACAGCTGCATTTGTATCATATTCTAGGTGAGGCTGACTACTATTTGAACGTCCCTCGTAGTTCAACCCATTAGAAAACCCACCCACCTCTCCGACTCTACATGCATGCAAGTGTGTTAGATATACCCGTTTGAAACCCACCCCTACCCCACCCCCACTTTATATGTATACATATCAAAACCTCAAAAGATATTTGCGAAAAGACATGATACAGAGGACAGTTTATATCGATTCCATATCAGGACGAATATTATTTTCGTCATTTAGCTAAGATTTGTCAATTCATTCTTGGGATATCGCGCTAATAATCTTTATATTGTCAAAACCCTCAGATTTTTGCTGTGACCTTGAAAATTATCTCAAGGTCACTCCATTTCACTTGTGTCGGTGAATCTCGTCAATATACCTTGGTACCAAATTTGAACAAAATCCATCATTTCTTTCTCGAGTTGTCGCCCTAACAAGCTTATTTGATGTATGAAATGCAACGAAAAACAAACACCCGCGAATTTACGAGTGATTAAAACTGTTATTACAATTTACGTAAACATTTATTACATTTTACCGCAGAGAAAATTATTACAATTTACGTCAATTTTTATTACAATTTGCGTATTACAATTTACGTCAATTTTTATTACAATTTACGTTTTTATTACAATTTACGTTTTTATTACAATTTACGTCAAGTTTATTACAATTTGCTGCAAGTATTACAATTTGCGTTTTTATTACAATTTACGTCGTAACAACCAGTGTGATATTGCATCGCGTAATACCTGTATATGATTGTCGATAGGCACATGTATGCACTATATTTATTATGATGTTCATCAAAAGTGATTTTATGTTATGTATATCGTGAATATTATTGTTATTACAGGGTGTCTTCTTCCACCACGATATGGAAATAAACATATCTCACTCATAACCCGTAGTATGTAGTTAATAACACATTGTAACTCCACTATATCATGGCTGCCACAGGAACACAACTATTAGCGATACAAATGTATTCCAATTTCTTGGAACTTGGAGACAAAAGCATAATGTAAGGCAGGATGTTTTATAGTCAGGCGGAGCGGAAGAAAATCTATTAATTAATATTTTATGGCCTAAAGTAGCGAATATGGTTTCGAGTAAAACATAGACACGCTCATGTTAGCCGACTGCTACGGATTGGTCTGTTAGAAGTTTATTTGAATGAATATGGTAGTCGTATATGATATTACATCATGGAGAACTTCACAGGTCTGTGATTATTTCTATAACTGACGGTGTAGCTGCGAATAGCTGCGAATTGTTGCGGCTTTACGCACTATTTTATCACTCACTGACGTTAATATTTTATCCAGCTTCTGGTCACTTTCATGCTTTCACTTTTATTGGACATTCATGTTCACAATTTCATTTGTTAATTTACATTGTGCATGTTGAGGATTTTTAAGTACACAGGAAATTGTAACAACGGGAGCCGACCTATATACACTACACTTCTTGTGTATGAATTACATAGCATTTTCAAGCTCTGTCAGAATGTGGCTAAATGCTACTTGGGAAATGAAAAGCATGAAAGAAGCATGACCACAGCAGTACTAACATGCGCATGCGCCCTGACCTTATGATATTACACATGCGCAAAGACAGCGTCTAAAACGCGAGATCGCGAGATCTCGTGAACGCGAGAAAATGAAATGTCGCATTCTCGCGTTCTCGCTATTTCGTGTTTTTGTGGCCTTATTTGACAAGTCGAGATTGCGAGATTTGACAGCATGTACACATGTTGCATTCTCGCGTTGTCGACTTTTGTCAAAAATCCTATGTACCAAAAACACGAGAATGCGAGATCGCGAGAACGCGAGATGTAGGCCAAATCTCGCGTTCTCGCATATTGCATTCTCGCACTTTTGGCAATTTTAGCTTGTTTCCAAAGGTCGAGATCGCGAGAATGTCCCTTACAGTATTCCATAGTAAACAGATCTTTCTTGTTTACTGCTTGATAACTTGAGTCCTTTACAACTGAAAAATCCACACAGTCGAGAAGGGATGATCACTGGATTGTCTGGTCCAGACTCGATTTTTTACAGACCGCCGCCATATAGCTGGAATATTGCTGAGTGTGGCGTAAAACTAAACTCACTCACTCACTAAGTATTTCATCACAATATTCCATGTACTTTATTATTGGTTATACAATTTTCATATCGATAATCATTAATAATTATTCCCATCGATGATGTTATCGATCTGTTTAGTCACCCTTACAGTGTGGCCAAATGTGCTTGATGGTGAACCTTTCATCACAAGGAATACATTTTGGAGGGTCGTCCACGTCCTTTCCAGCAGATATTCATGAGTATACCGACTGTGGTGAGTGAGCAATTTAAAGTGCGCGGGGGCGCGGGGGGCGAACTGGCTAAACCGCCAGGCTAGTGATCCAGCGAGCATGAGGTGACGGGATCGAGCCCACCTGTGACCGGGTGTAAAAACCTTGGAGTCAACTTTGTGTGCAGACTCTTTCAGTGTTGTCAAAAGCCCTAGTGTACAGTACACAACCCTGTGCACTTAAAAAAACCACGAATCCGTTGGCATATGACCAGATGGTGGCCACATGAATACGTGCAAACACCTAGTTGCGGGTACAGCAACGTGCAGTAAACTTGGACAAAGTACAGTGACGATGTGTCCCAGTCCACCCTGCTGTCAATGGGTACCTCGTAAGGATGGGAATGCCACAATAACTCGGTGCGCCTAGTGGCTGCAAGAGTTGTATACTCCTCATGGAGTTGAGATTGACAATACGATGTGCCGTTGAGATTGACATCCAGTGAACGAGGGAAAAACTAAGCGCCTTTGATGAGCTGTGCTGGATATCGGCGCTATACAAATGTTAGTATGTAATGTAATGTAAAAGTGTACGTTGCATCGGCATTATTTCAGCCACATAGATACGAGAAAAAGTCTGCAAATATCAACAAGTCCATTTTAGTACAAAGTTCAAGCAGAATATGCTTAATGGATATACGCTTAGGTTCATCTCCATCTGCTTTAAGTAGTAAACCGACTGTGGCCAATACATCATCGTAAAATTACCTCATCATCCCCATCTGCTTTAAGTAGTAAACCGACTATGGCCAATACATCATCGTAAAATTACCTCATCATCCCCATCTGCTTTAAGTAGTAAACCGACTATGGCCAATACATCATCGTAAAATTACCTCATCATCCCCATCTGCCTTAAGTAGTGACTATGGCCAATACATCTTCGAAAAAATTACCTCATCATAGTAGTAAACAGACTATGGCCAATACATCATCGTAAAATTACCTCATCATCCCCATCTGCCTTTAAGTAGTAAACAGACTATGGCCAATACATCTTCGAAAAATTACCTCATCATCCCCATCTGCTTTAAGTAGTAAACCGACTATGGCCAATACATCATCGTAAAATTACCTCATCATCCCCATCTGCTTTAAGTAGTAAACCGACTATGGCCAATACATCATCGTAAAATTACCTCATCATGTCTTATCTGACAACCGAGGCAGGTATAACCGATTTTTTTTTCACTTTGTGAAGTCAATTCCTTCCTACCTGGACTGTGTAACTTTTGAAAGTGGGTTTGAAATCACAATGCTGTATAAGCAGTGGAGGTAGCTGTTTGTCAAGTGTTACCTCCTATGACTACATGACCTAATGGTTCTCGACGCACCAAATGGTCTATGGTACGTCTGGGATGGTGTTTTCGCAAACCACATTGGATATTACTGGGGAGGCGATTGTCTCCTGGTGCCAGAGAAATCGATTGCTGGCCACACCTTTCATGGTTTTACATACACAGCTAGTGAATAATATAGTTTGTAAAACAATGGTTGTTGATACCATGAAAAATATGTGTTGCGATACTTTTTATCATGTGGATAGACAGACTGGGCACTCTGCTCCTAGTACTCGTATATTTAAAATGAAAAGCAGACTAGCAGTTGTGAGAATATTACAATCATTGTCTTTATTGCTAAAACTAAACTCACTCACTCTCTTTAACGGAGCAAGATACAGCAGTAATAAGAATGTTGACCCGTGAAGATGTATGGAATTGATCTTCAGCAACCCATGCTTGTCGTACGAGACGACTATCAGGATCGGATGGCTTGGCTGACATATGTCATCGTATCCGAATTGCGAAGATTAATGTTCTTGATGTTGATCACTGGATTGTCTGGTCCAGACTCGTCATAGCGGAAATATTGCTGAGTGCGGCGTTAAACAACAAGCAAACAAAGAGCAATAAGAACAGCGTAAGCACGTCCCGTACCCTATACCATTATTCATGCGAGAGTGTTGAAATCTAATCGAGTCTGGACCACAAATCCTGTGATCAACAGTATGAGCATCGATCTCCGCACCCGGGATGAGATGGCATGTATCAACCAAGTCGGGATCTTTCCTGACATCTGGAGTGAGTGAGTGAGTTTAGTTTTCCGCCGCACTCGATGATCTACACTGTCATTACTTTAGTCTCATTACAATTGTACTGCTACTCTATTTTGAACCATCAACTTAGGTACTCATTACGTATCCAAGCACTTAATTTGACAAGAACTTCGATCTGGTATGGCATTTTACGTGAGAACCCATCTCTGAATCACATAATCTTATCTGCTAAGAGGTATATTTACACTTGCTTTTTGAAAAAAACAATTCCAAAAGTTAAAAAAACAATATTCACCAGTGAAAAATTCATTTCCAGAAGTAATAATAAGCTTTTTAGCCAAATGGTTTCCTCTCATCCCAGAATTTAATCCTGAATGACTATTTACCCAAAACACATTACTGATGTCGATATTTATCATACTATATCTCTATCGAGTCCACAAGCTGGTATGTACACATATTCCTCTATATGCTTGTATTCAACGTATTTGGAACAATAAAAAAAACTTAGGTAATCAGTAAAATACATTTGTTAATCATATCACAATCGTCTTAGTTTGTCGGTGTACGTACAGATGTTGGACTAACCTTTTGTTTCCACACGTTACATTGAACTGTAAGCTATCAAATTATTATAAATATATCTTCAAAATCTGTAGGAGTGAGTCAGTTAAGATTTATAGTCACAGCGGCAGTATTTCAGCCATATTGTGACTAAACAAGTTATATATTCGCGATACATCAACTCAGGTGATAAAAAGGACAGTTAAGACGACTATAATATATAGATGAATGAGTTATCTTTATTTCCCCAATAATGTCGGAGAGTACGTTGATTTTTTACATGAATACAAAATACATGATTATATACAAATCATATTACAATGGGAAAGAATGAGTGAGTGAGTGACTTTAGTTTTACGCCGCTTTTAACAATATTACAGCAATATCACGGCGGGGGACACCATAAATGGGCTTCACACATTGTGCCCATGTGGGGAATCGATCCCGGGACTTCGGCGTGACGAGCGAACGCTTTAACCACTCGGCTACCCCACCGCCTAAATGGGACAGAAAGTTAAGCATATGTATGTATAATACACTGGAGTGAGTGAGTGAGTTTTACGCCGCACTCAGCAATATTCCAGCTATATGGCAGCGGTCTGTAAATAATCGAGTTTGGACCAGACAATCCACTGATCAACAGCATGAGCATCGATCTGCGCAATTGGGAACCGATGACATGTGGCAACCAAATCAGCGAGCCTGACCACCCGATCCCGTTAGTCGCCTCTTACGACAAGCATGGGCTACTGAAGATCAGTTCTAACCCGGACCTTCAAGTGTCATAATACACTGGAGGTGATGGAATGAAATACGATTCATAGGTAAATCCTGCGCTGTAGGTTCCACGAACTAATTCTCCTGGCATCAATGTCAATGAAATGGGCCCACGTGTGGATGTCAATGTTGTCCACTTTGAGGGTGATGCCACCAAGTAGAGTGATAGTTCTGATGTCATCAGAGCTACTCTCCCGATTAATGTATGTCTCGAACAATTGTTCATACATGGTATATCTGCGTCTAAACAGTTCATTGCAGTACAATAACTGGTGCTGCACAATATTATCCGCCTCCTCATCACAAGTAAGTCCAGCACTGATCGGTAGTATCCCCAGCTTCACCAGGGCGTACACAGGCCTACTGTACAGATCAAACTGTAAGCACATGTTCCACAGTCTATGGGACGAGAGGCCCGTGTTCATAGCAGTAAACCGTTGTAAGTCTGGGTCCAATCAACACCCCCCGCCTGAGGTTGCTGAGTTGAGTGATCAGATCGTTGACGTAAAGGAGGAATATCCAGGCAGATAACACTTCCTTGCCCCACTCCTTGTCTGATTGGGACAGTACGACTCGTGATGCCGTTGTATTGAACACAAGCAGACGCTTCTTTGTACGAGTGTCTGATCAAGTGCCACGCCTGTCCGGTAGCACCTGTATCAAACAATTTGAATAACAGACCATTATGCCAAATCCTGTGGAATACCTTTTCATTATCCAGGAATCAAAAAAAGATATTTGATTCTCTCTCCATGCAATATGCTATTGTCTCTTTCAGTATATGAACAGCTATGTTTGCACCGTGTTCTTTTCTAAATCCAAATTCAAGTTTGTTGGAAAGTCAGGATTAGCCGCGTGGCGATAACATAAATTGATCTTCTTAACATTATCCATTAGTTCGAAATATAGTGATTTCATTGTGATCAGAAAATGACAAGTAACGGAAATAAATAAAACTTTTAAGAAACTGTCTTATTGTCCTTCAACTACTTCAACTAGAAGAGCAGACAGTAAGTATATTAGCTAACTTTGTTTTCATTCGTTTATAAATTTATAACTTTCTTAGTCACGATATGGCTGAAATACTGCCGATGTGACTTTAAATTATAATTCACTCACTCACTCACTCAACTAGGAGAGTCCACTTTTACATCATAGGAGTGACACAAGTTCATCATTGCGTAATCAACAGTTAACAGACCATAAAATGTTCTAAGACAGAAGGCGAATTGGTACAGCTTGTTCAGCTTGACCTGATCAAGTGAATACTAATGCGTTACGTGACCGTGTCACAACTGGTTGGGTCTATTATTGTGAAGGGTTGCACCTCTGTCAGTTGATTGTCAACATGTTCGAACAGCCGAGACAAGGTCGCCGTTTAACATTCTCTGCTCCCCTATTTAATGAGGTTAACTCCACCTGCCGTTTATGCCATTTGACCTCCTGGGTCATGCATATGTAGAGTAGCTCAGGTCAAGCTGAACACGCTGTATGTAGGCGAGTACAGAACACACCATATCAGATTTAACAGTCTGGGTAATGCAATGGCAAAATATAATCAAGAAAACAAATGATGTCACGGGTACTTCACTTCCACAGACTCAAGGCGGCTGAATTTGATGTAAAGTTTCGCGGCCTCCTGCACAGAAATCCGTATTGGGGCTTCATAGAAGTTGTTGCCATCGATGAAAATCTGAAATTAATAACAATAATAATAATAATCGATTTCTTACGGTGAAGATTGCCTAGATCGATGCTCATTATGTTGATCACTAATGTCTGGTCCAGACTTGATGTACAGACAGCCGCCACATACATGATTGCGGCGTTAAACAACAACCAGCTTACTGTTGGACCACTGTTCATGCTTGGTGAATATCATCCTTATTGCTGTTGTCACTGTTATTTAATAACATCTTTAGGCACCCGTGAACAGCCACCTCCTCGTGGTGGGTGCTGGGTAACGCTAAGAGCTCTTCAACCCACCGTTGTGGACCCGGGGGTATATTTGGTCCACCAACCCGTTTGCCGTGGGTTGCGCCCCTGTGTCGGTGGAGGACGAGAGTCTGGTGGTTGAGGGCACTGGTTCCAGGAACAGCGTTCCTTTGCCCAACACACCACTTCGCCCCTTACTTCACCTAGACGGATGGTTGAATGGGCCCGGTTCAACCAATCGGCTGGTCATGCCAAGTCCTGTTCATGTCTATTTTGCTGCACAAATGCAATAAACTATGTAACATTTCTGTTAGATGCATTGGCTTGCGATTATTATGTTTGAATTTCAAAAACCTTTGTAATTTGCCCAGAGTCGTATGCCCAGAAGGCGGTGGCTCATTGGCCAATCTGGTAGAATAATAAATTTATATTATTCTGCTTGAGTATATCATCCCAGTATCCTTGGTGCTGCAAGTAGGAGGTCCACTTGTTTTTAACACTGTCCTTGTGATACTCTCGAAGAGGTGGGATTGAAAGAGAGACTTTACACTTGAGTATTATTTAACGTGTATATATATATTTAAAGTCACCACTTTTGTTAAACGAAGTTTTTGTTATTTTTAAATATGGCTAAATATTCCCACAATCGCCAGCGGATGAACTAATTGTTCAAATCCAAATAGGGCCCTTGCAGGTAGCAAAAGCACTGTAAGTCCCCATTGTCCCTAGTATGGTGGTCTACCTTCAGTTCTTGGCGATCTATAGCCCGTGTTTTGTATTGTATTGTCTTCTTTAATTAAAAGGTTTTAAATTTAATTACTAGTTTTAAATTTATATCTGTGATGATTTAGTTGTTATACTGTCCTTCGCTGACAGGGTTTTATAATTTACCTATAATTGTTATTAAATTATAACTTGATATATTCACGATATGGCTGAAATACTGCCGATGTGACTAAAAAATTTAACTCATTCACTCGTTTATGAAAAAAGTGAAAGGTTTGGTATCTAACGAGCGAAAGCGAGATATTTTTTTCTAACGTTGGGAGAGTAATAAATAAAACAATAAACGATGTCCTGTGTAATACCATATTTGTGAAACTCGTGAATGGTATTTGTGTCTAACGGATCCAGACGGGGGTGCAGGGAGGTTTATTAAATGACCACTGAAACTCGTGAAAACGGGTGAAAATGAACTGTGCACCCCACCTACCCTTTCTCAAAAAGCTGTATCCGCCCCTGATCTAACGAGCGAAAGCGCATACTTCAAAGTTTGTTTTGTTATGAGAGTGTGTTTTTTGTATAATTTGTAATATCACATTCATTAAGTGATAATTATTATGGGTCACAAGGTTTAAAGTTTTGAGTGTGGGTTTTGGCTCGCATCTCGCATCATAAATATATTCAATGGCAATAGTATTTGTAGGGGCACGCCTTTTTGATAGCACTTCAGAGTTGCCTCCCTTGGCTGGCTTGTTAATCTTGTTGACTTCCGGCTCTCCCGGCTTAGCCTCACAGAATTCCTAAACGTTCCGAGAGGCTAATGATTCAGCCAAGCTTTGCTAGAATGCTCGAGAACTTTGTAAGAGCTATATAAAGGTTGGTTGTTGAGTTGTGCGATGGGGCTTTCACATGACTGGATTTGTACACACCTGTCTGCCATCGTCAACTTGACCAACATTTCAAGATCGACCGCGCTTGTCTATTTAACTGCTGTCATTGTAAACAAATTCAATCAGTATATCTGTTCTGACTGTAAATGTCAAGGCTGGTGAGTTTATATTTTAGATTTGTGACCCAATATTTTAGATTTGTGTCTCAATTGCATTGTACCAGAAATCTGTCATTGTCATTCATTGTAGCTTGCTCATTGTTTCTTCAATATATTATTGAATATTTTAGACTTGTATGTGTTCTATTTTGCTGGTTCAAACGGGACTCTTAAACCTTTTGTCACGGCAAATTGCTAAACGTAACAGTTTCAAGAGGAAAAACATATACTAAGCCCCTAACATGGAGAAATAAATGACATAACGCAACTACATTTTGACCTTCACCTTCACTTCGTCCAACCCCTACATAAATTATTGCTATTTTGATAAGTACAAAGTGTATAAGCCCTGACGAAAGTTGAAGAATTTTTTACATCGCTCTTCGGTGAGTGAGTGAGTAAATGTTGCTTAAAGAACGAATAATCTTTTGTTGTTTTTTTTACTCTTTTAAGCATTACATAAGAAAGACTGAGCGATTAAAAGTTGCGAAAAAGTCGTCTGCTTCACTCTCACCCGCCAACGAAACCACAGACAGGTTACGTAACTCTGTCGCCAGAGCACTGCAGCGAACCGGAAGTGAGGAAAGATTTTCAGTTAGTTGTATATAAAGTGTGTATAAGCTCGTCATTTCTCGACGTCAATGAAGACATGCCGAATCGTTGCGCTGCCGTCCATTGCTCCCAGGGGTCGGGTGATGGTGTCACCATGCACTGATTTCCTTCAGACCCGCAGTTCGTGCTAAATGGGTTATGCTTGTGAGTGCGGAGCGAGCGTTGTGGAAGCCTGTAGTATATAATAAATCGGATTGCTCGACCCTTACCGCGCTTCCAAGATAGCAAATGCTATTTAGATTTGTTTTCATCGAGTTAAAAGATCAAAACTACTTACTAGTTGTAGTAAATGATTGATGACCGAAAGGATTTTGCATGACACAACCTGTAACATAACGATTTGTGTGTGGTGGAAGTGACAATAATATTGTAAGTAGTATTATATTGACACCCACCTCGCTTCCAAGAGAAAAATTGTTATGTTATAAGCTATGTCATGCAAAATCCCATTGGCCATCAATCAATTACATATTTTACTACCAGTAGAAAGTAGTTTTGATTTTGTTACTAGGTGAAAACAAACCTAATTAGCATTTATTCTCAGACTGGCGGATGTTCGCGACAGGGCACCGACATTTTTAAAAATCGTGACGTCACCGACTGAAGTCAGTTCGAGAATCAATTAGATTTTGGTTTGTTTTCATCAAGTTAGAAAATCAAAACTCCTTTCTACACGTACTTAAATCTGTATTTGAATCATGACCAAATGGATTTTGCATGACACAACTTTACGACAACATTACGATTTCTTTCACGGAAGCGAGGTGGGGGTCGAAGTGACAATATTGCATGATACATAACTTACTTGCTACATTCACGTGGTTAACGTCCACTCACCAATATGTAGATACTAGTTGATCGTTTTCACTATCACTAGCGTCTGGCTTAAACAAATAAGGCTTAGCGATTGTTTCATCATTGGTATCCGAGGAACAGTCACTGCTTGAGGACTGGCTATCCATGGGAAGGGAAAGATTGTCGCTGTCTGAATTACTTCCGGACATGTCAGAGTCTTTGTACCGAAACGCCAACCCACTTAATTAACCATATCTAAATCACTTGACATAAATGGTTTAACACCCGCGCCGAGTAAATTGGCGAACAAAAGCTAAACCTAGCCAACAGGTAACCGTTATGACAACAAGCGTTTTGAAAGAATCGTTGTTGTAACTCGGAAGCTAGGCAAAGCAGGTGACAAGATTAAATGACAGTAGATTGTGTAAACATACAGCTTTCATTTTTCACAACAATTGTCACGATTCTACAGCGTGCCTCACTTGCATACCTCACATTACGTCACGGAGACGCGCCCCTCTGATTGGTTGAAATTTCGTTCGCGGGAGAGAATTGTGCACTGTTGTCAAAAAGGTCGATTTATGTTAATTAAATGTCGAAATGAGTAGTTTTAATGATGGGGTTTCATTTATAACGATGCCAGTAAATCATTTATGCATTTGTACCCCCTAGAGCATATGTGATCTTTAAAGCTGCTTCCGCAATTTTGCATCTATTCGCTGGAAGAAAAGCAAAGTTAACATTTTCCAAAAGGATCGAATATAGAATAAAGGGGATGGCGAAGATCACAAACACTTCAGTGAGCTATCACAGTAAACACTAACATTTAGAATTTAAATCTACATTTTATCATATAGTTTAATTTCATTCAAATACTCTATTTTTTCAAAACGGTTCTGAAAAGTTCAGAAAGTTTGAAAAGTATAAAATCGTTGTCGAAAGCCCAAAATCAACACAATCCAACAAAAGGTGATTGACAGTCAAGAACTAACACGGAATACATTGAGGGGGATTTTCTCCCTTCAATGAGTGAATGAGTGAGTGAGTTAAAATTTACAGTCACATCGGCAATATATGTGACTTAAAGGTTCTAAATTAACAATAAACGCAATTAAATTATAGAAAACCTGTCGACGAAGGACAGTAAAATATACTAGGCACATAAAGAAACTGTGCATACAAAAATTTAAAATCTAAATTTATCAAACCTGTGTAGACACATAAGGATTTAAACTCAGAGATTAGTGACATGTATCCAACATGCATGCACGTGCCACGTTCCGTGACGTCAGTGGGTTCGTCCTTGAGACGTGCAATACGTTGTTGCACGTATTCCGGGAAAGAGAAACAGAGCAAATGAATGCCACACAAAACTGTCACTTTGGAAAGCTCAACCCCTGCCCTTGCGATCGTTCAAAAAATTAAACGGCTATTGAAACGCATAGCATGCCAAGGCTCACGTCTGCACAACGTCATGAGGCCATTGGGATGGTCCGTGGGGGAATGTCTCAACGACAAGTGGCTGCACATGTCCACTGCCACCGGAACACCATTTCTGCACTGGTGAGACGCTACCAGAACACAAATGACGTCATCGATCGGCCACGTTCTGGACGTCCACGTGTAACAACGCCAAGACAGGACAGATGGATAAGGGTGACCCATCTTCGCCACAGGTTTCAGCCTGCAGTGATGACTGCCCGAACCATCCCAGGACTTCGCCGTATCAATCCCAACACAGTTCGACAACGTTTACGTCATCACGGGATCAGACCACGACGTCCCGCCATACGGCCTATCCTGACACAACGTCATCGACAAGCTCGACGAATGTGGTGCCGAAATCATGTCCGCAGACCCTTGTTTTGGTGGAGAAATGTTGTTTTTACAGATGAGTCCAGGTTTAACATTTCCCATAGTGATGGACGTCAACGTGCCTATAGACGCGTGGGAGAACGTTATGCACAGGCCTGTGTCTTGGAGTGGAATCGCTTTGGTGGTGGTTCCGTGATGATTTTGGGTGGAAAACAGCACGCCAAAGAACTCCTTTGGTGATTGTTCAGGGCAATTTAACTGGTGTGGGCTACAGGGATCAGATTCTTCGACCTGCGGCAATTCCTTTTCTGCAACGTCATGGCCCTGGGTTAACATTCCAACAGGACAATGCCCGCCCTCATACGGCAAAGGTTGCTATGGATTTCTTGCAACACCACAACGTTGACTTACTGCCTTGGCCTGCAAATTCACCGGATCTCTCCCCGATAGAGCATGTCTGTGACGAGATGGATCGACGTCTACGCCGTCTTCCTCATCCGCCAGATAACGTCCTTGACCTTGCAACAGAACTTGAGAGAATCTGGCGTGATATCCCACAAGCCTTCCTTGCACGTTTGATAGGCTCTATGTGTCGTCGATGCACTGCTGTTCTCAATGCCGATGGTGGACATACCCGTTATTGAGCTTGTGACATGGTCGTTTGACCCCTGTCCCGCTTGTGGACTCGTGACGTCATTGTGATTGACTTTTCAATTGAAATTCTCAGGACTTGTTATGGTCTCATGATCCCTCCATTAAAGTTTATATGTACCTTTGACATTGTTATCGGTACTTATCAACTGTGATAATATTTTAACAATGCACAGTTTCTTTATGTGGCTAGTATAACTAGAGTATCACAGTTAGAGAATTAAAGCTAGCAAGTAACTTTTAAAAGTAGACAAATAGTGCAGACAATACAATATGAAAAACGGGCTGTAGATCACTAACAACTGAAGGTAGATAACCATGCTAGGGACCATGGTACTTTTGCTACCTGCATGGACCCTAGCTGGATTTACATCAGCCCTTCAGCGTTGGTGATTCTCCCTTCAATGAAAATGAATGAGTATAATGAGGGTGTCAAATGCGACACCTTCAGATGACCACTTCAGTAAGGGTGTGATACCCTAGCAAAGGTTGTATTATCTCTATTTGGAGGAGTCCCTAGTATGATGTATATAACTGTGTTGCTGGCGTCTTCTTGCCCCATTTTTTATGCCTGAGAGCCAAACTCAGTTTTAATTTTCTACAACTAGTTTTAAAAACAAATCTGTGGTATTTTAAAATACATTATCGTATAACTTTATCAAGTCACAATATGGCTGACACGGTCAAACATGTCCTACTTGACTGTATTGATTTTTTCCATCAAAAGGGATAAACATTTCAGTGTCAAAACAATTAAGGATTCTTTTATAATGTAAATTATCATTTAATAATTGGTTTTCAAAGAAATAAAAAAATTTATTAGATAAATTCTGATTATATGCTTTGTAAATGGAAATTGGTATTTTATAACTGGTAGATTAAATTCGTAACTGAGATTGTTAGTGGCTGTATCCTCAAAGGGGGTTAAAGTAGTGTAAAGTTATTGTCCCCCTGAGAGTGTATGTAAGACCACGTCTTTCAAAGTATATTTAATCTTACCGCATTTTATCGTATAATAAATGTATGGCTAGATTTGTCGAAATGTTAATATCTGAAGGGATGGTGTAAATCCAGCTTGGGTCCATGCAGGTAGCAAAAGTATGGTCACTATAAGTATGGTGGTCTACCATCAGTTGTTGGCAATCACTGGATTGCCTGGTCCAGACTCGATTATTTACAGACCACCGCTTTATACCTGATATATTGGTGAGTGCTCCGTTGTGTCCCTTGCTTACCATGACCGTTGGACAATAAAATAACTTTTCGCTAAAATGCATATTTGCTATACATAATATAAATGTTCAGAAATATATAATTGAATATCAAAATATCAACTTAATATGGGTTTATCGTCTCTTTTTAATTATTTATTTGGAATCTATACAAGCATCCATACACCTCCAGTGTGGAATTCATTTACTAATTCAATTTGCCAAGATGATACCAGTAAACCTGGGGTACATGTGAGTGAGTGGGTTGGGTTTTACTCCGCTTTTACTAATATTCCTCCGTCATATAGCTTGAATATTGATGGGTGCGTCGTAAAACTAAACTCACTCACTACTAATATTCTAGCAATATCACGATGGGGACACTAGAAATGGTCATTACATGTTGTACCCACGTGGGGAATCGAACCCGGGTCTTCGGTATGACGATCGAACTCTTTTACCACTGTCCTACTGAGCTTTAACCTTTGTCAGTTTGCAACTTCATGGTAATCAGACGAAAATACCGTTATATGACGAGAAACCGTTCTAATTTGTTTGGCAACTTGTTTGATAGCCTGTTTACTTGTAGTCATTAAGAACAGTTCGCCTACCAGGAACTGGGTTGTTGTTATTCGCATCGAGGACATCAAACACCACGTTTGGAGAAAAGATGAAGCCGGATGGCCCAAGTTCAGACCCCCAGGAGCCAGACGATTGCGTGTTGAAGATTGCGTCAGGTCTTGACCAGCGGATGGACAGAAGGAACACAGTGTTTCCAGCCTCAGTCCCTCGTACGTGAATATCTGTACTGTAAAAGTAAAGATCTGGGTTAGAATTGGTGCTTGGTTGATGCATGTCATCCCATTATTTCAATGTAGAAATAGACAAATAACAGTCGTCATAACACAATAACATTGGTTAATGCTCATAACATTAGTCATTAGTTCTAGATGCCAGGGACCCGTGCAGATCCGGGGTAGAATAGGTCTTAAGCAACCCATACTTGCCACAAAAGCGACTATGCTTGTCGTAAGAGGCGACTTACGGATCAGGTGGTCAGGCTTGTTTGACGTGGTTGATACATGTCATTGGTTCCCAATTGCGCAGATCGATGCTCACGCTGTTGATCACTGGATTGTCTGGTCCAGACTCGATTATTTACAGACCGCCGCCATATAGCTGGAATATTGCTGAGTGCGGCCGACAGATATTGCAAAGTAAAAAAAGTTATTTTGATAGGTCTCTACATACCACCCGAGGGGTCGACATACTACACATCGTCGTGGGAAACCAACAAGTATAGAACTACTTGATCAGTGGTTCTCAGAGAGCCTGGATATTCTTTCTGACTGTCATATAGTTATCACCAGTGATCTGAACTCCAGGGTTGGGACAGGCAATGAACCACCTGAACCACAACCAAACTCTCTGGGAGATGTGTTCCCTGACGAAGAGTTAGTGCCTCTTGACAACAGACAATCTTGTGATAACTCAATCAATAGATTTGGTAGAATGCTAATGGAAATGTGTTATACGTACAAGCTGTATATTTTAAATGGTCGTGTGCAAGGAGATAAAACTGGCAGGTTTACGTTCATATCTAGCCAGTGTTCTTCGGTAAATGATTATTGCATTGCCAATATGGATGCGTTTGAACTGATTGAATCGTTTCATGTAGAGGCCCAAGTAGAGGAAGATCATATGCCATTAACGGCAAAACTTAAACTCTATGAGCAAAGCCACCAGCTAGAAAATAATTATAATACTGACAGAAACTGCTCTGACAGAATTGTATGGAACCATACTAAGCCATACGTGTACACCGACAGCATAAAACAGCTTGCTGACACCTTTGTTGAAGCAACAAGATTAGTTGATACAGATGTTGACCACGCTCTAGACTTGTTTGTACAAACAGTACTTGGTGCAGTGGACTGTATGAAAAAACGTAACAAAAAGTGTATTTCAAATGGGTTTTTTTATAAATATTGTAAAAGTAAAAAATACTTCACTCGCAAAGCCTTGCGTCGATTCCAAAGAAATAAATCTGAGGAAAACTGACGTAATTATTGCAAACAGAGGAATTTATATAAGGGTATCTGTAAGCGCACAAAGCTCCTGCATGAGTGCAACAAAGCTGATGCATTAAAGCAAGCAACCAGTAACCCAAAGACGTTTTGGAGTATAGATTCGGGAAAATTTCCAACAAGCTGGACAAAGTCTATCGTTGTCCCAATACACAAAAAGGTGATAGAAATAACCCCGACAACTACACAGGCATATCGTTGTTAAGCGTCTTGAGCAAAATCTATACTGGTGTGCTCAATAATAGACTGAAAGTTTGACAGAACTAAAAGATAAAGTTCCAGAAACACAGGCAGGCTTCCGATCTCGTTATTCAACCACAGATCACATATTCACACTAAATTCTATCGTCGAAAAATGCTTTATGAAAAACGAAAAGCTTTATGTCGCCTTCATAGATTTCGAAAAGGCGTTTGATTATGTGAAAAGAAATAAACTTTGGTTTTGCCTTTAAACAGAACGGGTTAGGGGAAAATGCTGTCAGCACTCAAAGCAATTTACATATCTGTACAAGCTTGCGTAAAATGCTCTTCTTCAGATATTACCGATTTATTCAATTGCCCAAATGGAGTGCGCCAAGGATTCATCCTAAGCCCGTTGTTATTCTCATTATTCATCAGTGAACTGTCAAACTCTGTAAATGAATGTGGTAGACACGGCATGCAATTATTCCCTGATTTATATGAACTATTCCTACTTCTATTTGCAGATGATGTCATCCTCGTATCTGAATCAATTGTCGGCCTTCAAAACCAGTTAAATATTCTTGAAACGTTTTCAGACAATTTGGGGTTAACTGTTAATCTTGATAAAACACATATTATTGTGTTCAGAAAAGGGGGCATTCTTTCGAATAAGGAAAAGTGGTTTTATAAAGGAAACCAAATCGCCACTGTAAATAGTTACAAGTATTTAGGTGTCTGGTTTTCAAGTAACTTAAAATGACGAAATGCATTTCAGGCTTGGCAAGCCAGGGTAAAAGAGCATTGATGGAAATCATTGTCAAACTAAACAAGATTTGAATGATTGACCCGAATATATATTTTAAAAATCTTTGATTCTCAGGTGATGCCGATATTATATGGCTGTGAGATTTGGGGAGTCAAGCAATATGAATTATTGAAAAAGGTACATCTTCTAGCCTGCAAACGATTTTTAAGGGTAGGAAAACAAACCCTAATACTATTGTATATGGCGAATGTGGTTGCTATCAAATATATATAAATGCTTACTTACGGCTTTTACGTTATTGGCTAAACTTGCTCAAAATGAGCGAGTGTAGATTACCCAAAAAGTGTATTATATGCTAAGATATTTTGATGACATTGGAAAAAGATTTGGGTATCGTTCATAAAAATATTTTGTTTTCTCATGGCTTTGGATATATCTGGATTAACCAATCTGTTGGTGATGAACTTTCTTTTGTACAATGGTTTAAAACATCATTGATAATGAATTTCCTCAAAGTTGGACTTCCACTTTGAATAACAGCTCTAGATATGTGATGTATAGAGAATATAAATTCATATTTGAACCAGAAAGATACCTGTGTATCATATATTAGAAAAAAAAGGTGCGCTCTACTTACACCAAATTCAGATGCAATGTCTTGCTACTACGTTATAATGAAGGTAGGTGGCTATCAATCGAACCTGGTTTACGTTTGTGTCCCATTTGCAACACCTCTGTAGGGGATGAGTATCATTTCACACTTATATGCCACTTGTACAATGAATTGAGAATAACTTTTCTTCCGGAACGCTTTTGGAAATTCCCTTCTATCCATAAATTTAAAAGGCTGATATGTACAACTCAGGAGAATTTAATCAGACGTGTACAGTATTACATTGATCATGCATAAATAAAAGAAATAGGTATTTAGAAACACTTTAGACTTCACTTGTATGCTCTTGTTAACTATGTATAGTTATATCTGGTATATGGGCCCTTGGCCTCGTTACAAATAAACTCCTTTTGACTTTGACTGCGGACTTTGTGTGCCCCTCTGATAAATGTTAATTGAACGGCTCCCACGGTTGAAAGTTGTGAATACATTAATGTTATTTTGAAAGTGGTCAAATGTAACATATGCTATATTTGGGATTACACTTTCTCAGTAAAGTACAGATTCTAGTACTTTTTGGGGGGTTAAGTCCCACCCGGGATTCGAACCCACACCAATCCCAAATATAACATTTTACATTTGACCACTTTCTAAAATGGCATTGTGTATTTCATCCACTTGTTATAACTGAAAGTCCACAGCACCGATACAGATCTGACGACTTGTAGTTAACTTTCGAAAACTTACTTGCTCCCCTCCATCACCAGAACCTCTCACTCTTATCTCCGCCCCAGTGGATAACGGTCCAGGCAGATCAGCAAAAAATGGATTCGCCTGTCATCAAGAGAAGATACCGTGTGATTAAGATATTCTTTCATATTTGCTTGTCTGTTTGTTTGTTACAACATTCCAGCCACACTCTTCACAAGAAAGAAACGCATAGGTGAGTTTGATACAAATTTGATCCAAATGTACTGTCTGTTTCTTTCCAAAATGTCATCTTTGTGTGAATTTAAACAGCTTCAGCGCCAAAGAGTAGCAATTTTAACGTTTTGCCTTATTTTAGAAACGTTTGAGGAACGTCACCAAGACAACATACAAAACAATATGCAAGTGCAAACAAGCGGAAGAGCATGGGGTATCATCACTATAAAAAGGCACACGTTGTGTTTAATTTTGTCATTCGTTTTTGCCTGGAAAAGAGGTAATCATCATGCCACGACTGAGTGGCGCAAATCAAAACATCGCCATAGGCCGCCTTGAAGCCTGGGAGTCGCAGTCTGCAGTTGCCCGACATTTGATAGTGGCTGTTCCGTTTCTGCGGTTTCAACCCGCCCCGACAGATAACAACTCTTGCGTTTTCAATGATGATAGTTTCTTAAACAACTTTTTTGGTGGTGTCCGGAAAATTTTCAAATATAAGAAAGCTGTTGGGTATTAGTAAATGATAAACATGTGCACTATTTATATTTATGTGGCAATTTTTGTACATTGATCAAATTTGCAATTCATTGGTCCGTTTCTGACTCAAACGGACTGTAGTTAAAATGTGGTGTACTGACGATAGGATTTTATAACCTTTAAATATATTTCATACTTTTTGATTGCTGTATAAGGTTCTCTCGTCACGATATGGCTGAAATATTGCCGATGTAACAATAATTTTTCACTCACTCACTCACTCACTCACTCACTCGTTTGAGTCAGCGTGGTTTTAAACCAGTGAAAGACCGGGTAAGAATTGGTCTATAGCGACTCATGCGTGTTGTAATAAACGACAAACGGGGTCGGGTGGTCAGACTCGTTGACTAATTGCGTAGACAGATGCTCAAGCTGTTGATCACTGGATTGTCTGGTCCACACTCGAGTGCGGCGTTAAACAACAAACCAATCATAACTTATAAGCCGATATTCGTCAGTAAACCGACTGTGGCCAATACACCATCGTCAAGTAAAGAAAACAAGACGTTTGTATTCCAACATTTGTCCATAATGACATAGTTTACTTACCGAATATAAAACTGCCTTTTGTCTATTCAGACTGCACATTATACCAAAATAAAATACCAACAGTTATTTCCAAAAGGAAAATATAAGTTGTTATAGAAATAGAAGCGACAAGACCCTTTCCACATCCATAGGAAATCTCGATTGTACAGTTCTGACTGTATCATGAGCAAGTATTTGTTTCAACAGTATTACAGCTGTACGATGTTTGTGGATGATTCTGGAAGACAAAGATACAAGTTCTCTTCTCCGTACCCCTGAGAGTAAGTTTTCATACAACATGTTTTCATTCGTAGAATATATATGTTCCTTTTTCATGTTTGGCTAATTTGGAATACGATCGCCAACGGCCGAGATCTGTAATCACGACTATTTCTTTCTGAGGCATTTTCCTACAATCGCCAGCGGTTGAAGGGATGGTGTAAATCCAGCAGGGATCCATGTAGGCAGCAAAAGTACTGTAAGTCCCCATCGTCCCTAGTATGGTGATCTACCTTCAGTTGTTGGCGATCTATAGCCTGTTTTTATATTGTATTGTCCAAATAGTGCTTTTTAGTTTTCACTATCCAGTCTAGTTTCTACCTTCAGTTTTGGCGATCTATAACCTGTTTTATATTGTATTGTCCAAACAGTGCTATTAGTTTTCACTTTCCAGTCTAGTTTCTACCTTCAGTTATTGGCGATCTATAGCCTGTTTTTATATTGTATTGTCCAAACAGTGCTATTAGTTTTCACTTTCCAGTCTAGTTTTAGTTGTAATTTTGATATTCTACATGTAGTTGTTATACTGTCCTCCACATATTCCATTTCAATGTCAAATATGTTCTCGTCACGATATGGCTGAAATATTGCCGATATGACGTTAAATATTAACTCACTCACTCACTCACTAGTATGTTGATCTTCCTTCAGTTGTTGGCGATGCATAGCCCGCTTTTATACTGCATTGTCCAAAATAACGATGTATTTCATATGCTTCAAATGTATTCTCTCACTGTGATATTCTAGTTTTTTTACTGTCCTTCAAACTAAATTTATTATCATAACATGGCTCTTTTTTTGACAAAATGGCTGAAATAATGGCGATGTGACTATAAATGTTAACTCACTCACTCACATTCCTGTACGTACCGGGGGCGGTGGGGTAGCCTAGTGGTTAAAGCGTTCGCTCGTCACACCGAAGACCCGGGTTCGATTTCCCACATGGGTACATTGTGTAAAGCCCATTACTGGTGTCCCCCGCCGTGATATTGCTGGAATATTGCTGAAAGTGGCGTCAACCTCACTCGCTCACTCCTCTACGTACCTGATCAGTCCAAAGTGTCTGAGCACACTTTCCTATGTCAAGGACTTCAGTGCCAAGAGGGCAGGGTAATGGAGGAGACAGCAGGTAGGTGAACCCACTTCGACAGGCAACGTCCACAGTCTGGTTTACAACTGACAGCGTCAAGGCATTCTCCAAGCGAACCTGGCTGCATTCAGCTGAATATAAATGGACAATATTTGTGAGAAATCACATGCTAAATACAAAACATCAACATCACTGAATAGCCAGCCTGTATTGGACGAAACAGGTAACACTGGGCTTTCAGGTCCGGATAAGATTTCTCGAAATAAAGTTCAGTTTTTACTCAAATTTGAAACTGAGTTTGACACTTTGAAACAGCTGAATTTTTAATTCAACTGCATTTTTAAAATAAAAAAGCTCAAGCAACTTAAGTAATCTATCCACCAAACCAGTTTAATATCGATTTCATTTAATTCTAGAAAATGCATTTTCCTGCGTTTTCTCAAATTTGAGTAAAAGCTCAAACTTAGTCAAAACTCTGACTTAGGGCCTGGTCTTCAGCAACCAGTAAGAGGCGACAGACATGATCGGGTGATCAGGACCGCTCACTTGGACACATATCATCTTATCATATTCGAACTGCATAGATCGATGTTCATGGTGATAATCACTGGATTGTCTGGTCCAGAGGCGATTATTAACAGACCGCTGCCATGCAGCTGGAATAGCCAATAAAGAATTGTGGTCAACGGGTTAACGTAGCATGGATGTCTCTCGTCCCCATGGAGTGGGTGAGTTTAGTTTTACGCCACACTCAGCAATATTCCAGGTATATTGCGGCTGTCAGTAGTGAGTGAGTGACTTAATGTCACATCGGCAATATTGCAGCCATATCGTGACAAGAACAGTTTATATCAATATTCAAATCAATAAATGTATAACGTAAAACCTGTCATCGAAGGACAGTAAAGCCACTAGACTATCACAGCTCTTAATTTAAAACTAGTACGCTATCATAAAAAATATATCACGAGAGACAACAGTATATATAGATCTATAGATCACCAGCAACTAAAGGTTGATCACCATACTAAGGACAATGGGGACTTACAGTACCTTTGCTACCTACATGGACCCTAGTTGATTTACATCATCCCTTCAGCAGCCAGCGATTGTAGTCAAATTTAGTCATAATTAAAATCACAAAAATTCGACGCTTAAAATCCTGGTAGGTTTGAAATTTACTTTGAGAGTTTTGGGACTAACGTACCCTCTCAGTAGGACAATAAGTTTACAATACTTTAACCCCTTGAGGGTACAGCCACCAACAATATGAGTTATTAATTTAAACTTCCCATCATAAAATATTAATCTATTTACAAACCTGTTAACAAATCTAAATCTATTTAAAAAGCAATAATTAAATGAGGACTTATATCAGTAAAAGGATCCTTCATAGTTCGTGATTTGAAATAGATATCCCTTGTGATGGAATATTCAACACGGTCAAGCAGGACATGCTTGACCGTGATTCTTTCATCACAAGGGATACAAAACGGAGGATCCTCACCTTTCAATAGGTACTCATGAGTATATCTTGTGTGACCAATACGACATCGTTGCTGTTACCGTTACAGGCTCCACCATACACAATAGAGCCACAGTCAAGCTTGGAGCGGACCAGTGATCTATATAGTTGAAGGAGGGTAGCTTGATCCCCTCCCCGCTTTGAATTAGAAACGACTTTCAATAAATCGAGTGCTTTCAGGCATTTAGTTTTTAAGGATTTGATATGCGGAAGAAAAGTTAAATGAGTGTCGAAAATTAGACCCAAGAATTTGGCCTCTTTGACAACTTTGATGGGAGTGCCGATTAAAAACAGTTCTGGGTTTTTGTGTGGTTTATATTTACGGCAGAAATGTATGCAATTTGTTTTTGATTTAGAAAATTTAAAGCCGTTTTCAAGACACCATTTATTTATTTTGTTTAAACACAACTGCAGTTGCCGTTCAATAGTATGCATATTCTTACCGCGACAAGAATTATTACAATCATCCACAAAAAAGTGATCCATCAATTGAATCATTTAAAACCTTGGATAAACTGTTGATCTTAATACTAAATAATGTTACAGACAAATTACTGCCTTTTGGGACACCCTGATCCTGATTGTAATGGTCAGACAGGGTTGAACCCACTCGGACTTGAAATTGCCTGTCTGTTAAAAACTGTGATATAAAAAGAGGTAAACGACACCTCAAACCGAAGTCATGTAAATCTTTTTAAATGCCATGCTTCCAGGTGGTATCGTATGCTTTCTCGAGGTCAACGAATATCGATACTGCATGCTGTTTATTTACTATAGCATTTTTAACAAAGGATTTTAAACGTACCAAATGATCCATGGTACTTCGATTTTTCCTGAAACCACATTGATTATTTGTATTATTGGTTTCAAGATACCATGTTAATCTATTATTTACCATTCGTTCCATGGTTTTACAGACACAACTCGTTAAAGAGATTGATCTGTAGTTAGACGGATCAGTATGATCCCGGCCAGGTTTTGGAATGGGAACTACAATGGCATTACGCCATGAAGTTGGGAAATTCTCTGAGGTCCATATCATATCAAATATATTTAGCAACGTTTCCAAACATGATTCGGGCAAATGCTTCAAGAGCTGATAGGGGATACCATCAGCCCCTGTTGCTGTATCATGAGCTTGCTCAAGGGCGGTATGTAGCTCATGTAGTGAAAATAATTCATTATAATCTTCACCATTGTCTGGGTTAGAATTGATTGTTTTCTTCTCCTGTTGTTTCTGGTGTTTTTGAAACTCAGGGACATAATTTAATGATGAAAAGTGTTTGGCAAGAATTTCGCCAATTTTATTTGTTATTTCAACTTTATTAGTTAAGAGATTATCACCATCCTTCAGATGGTGTACAGTAGATTAGAACTTTTGCCCTTTATTCTTTGGACCATGTTCCACACCTTTGACATCTGTGTACGTGAATTTATGTTAGAAATATAGTTCCTCCAAGACTGACGCTTATTCTGTTTAAATGAGCGCCAAACATTGGCATTCAAAATTTACAGATAAGCGCTCCAATTTTACAACCGAAGCAAAGGGCATATTTACAGCTCTAAAATACATTAATAATCAATCAAAACAGAAATAAATTGTGATGTTTTTAGATTCTCTCCCTTGTCTTCAAAAGCACTAAGTGAACACTAAGTCACTCAACAAATCTGTGACACCACTTATGATACCTCATAGGTGTTAGAAGCCTGTGTTTGGATTAGATATGGGAGATGTAATACCAGTGAATCAATAAGTTACCCGAGATTCAACTATCGATTTATTTAAAGGTGAGGAGACAATATTTAGAATCCCTTGTCTCCATACCTCTATCTAGTATGGACGCCGTTAAATATAACATGAACAATTACGTATTTACACTCTTCAAACAAAGAAACACATACGCCAAACCTAAGGAAATGTATTAAAGAGATTGAGACAATACGATGTGCCGTTGAGATTGACATCCAGTGAACGAGGGAAAAACAAAGCGCCTTTGAGCTGAGCTGGATATCGGCGCTATACAAATGTATGTATGTATGTGTGTGTGTGTGTGTGTGTGTGTGTGTGTGTGTGTGTGTGTGTGTGTGTGTGTGTGTGTGTGTGTGTGTGTGTGTGTGTGTGTGTGTGTGTGTGTGTGTGTGTGTGTGTGTGTGTGTGTGTGTGTGTGTGTGTGTGTGTGTGTGTGTGTGTGTGTGTGTGTGTGTGTGTGTGTGTGTGTGTGTATGTATACATGATCTATTACTCTTGAACATAGATGAAGAAAATTTGACACACGGATGAACATATACTTTTCAAAAACATAACATGACAATTTGAATTTTAGGAAAATATTTGACACATACCAGTCCATGCTAAATCCCAGCATGTGGAGGAATGGTTGCCGGCGACAAAACGTTTAGAAAAAAGAAACGTTGAACAAAAACGTAACGTCACACTCACGTCTGTATTGAATCGCTAAAACGCTCCCCTACATGAAATGCACCCCGAGCTGAAGCCTATGGCTGTAGTCTGTAAAAAGCCACATCAACGGTACCTCACATCCATTGCTTTAATCCACTATTGACGCCAGAAGAATGCCAAGACTGACAGAAGTTCAACGACACATTGCCATCGGCCGTTTACAAGGTGGGGCATCGCAGCATGAGGCGGCAAAGCACTTCGGCGTGTCCAGACAGGCAATCTCAGACCTATGGACCCGATACAAAAATACTGGGAGTGTTACCGCCGCCAAGCATCGCTACATCCGGTTGAGACATCTTCGTTCGCGCACCACGACCGCAACATCCACAACAACCCAAATCCCTGGACTGCGCCGAACCTCCGACCAGGCAGTGCGCAATCGGCTACAGGAAGCCGGACTTTTTGCCAGGAGACCAGTTCGACGTAACGTCTTGACACAACGTCACCGGGCTGAACGTCTACAATGGTACAGACAAGGAGTGAGATGGCCGCGGGCAAGATGAAGGACAAGTTTGTTCCCGGATGAATCTCGGTTTCTTCTCAGACGTGCTGATGGACGTTCACGTGTATACAGACGTCAGAATGAACGTTAAGGCGATAACTGTGTAGAGCAGGTCGATAGATTTGGTGCAGGAAGTGTCATGGTGTGGGCAGGTATCCATCATAATGGCCTGACAGCTCTTTCCAGCATGACAATGCTCGACTTCACGTTGCACGTGTTTGCCAGGACTTCCTACAAAAATCGACGTTCAGGTGTTATCACGACCTTCTCGATCACCCGAATTGTCCCCCATTGAACATCTATGGGATATTCTTGACGATTGCGCCACCTCAGACAATACAGGAACTACACGCAGCACGTCAGGAAGAGTAGCAAAACATTCCTTAAGACAGCATTCGGCATCTCCTTTCTTCTACGGGCCGCCGCTGCAGCTTCCAAGCTGTTATCGATGCTCATGGTGGTCACACCAGATACTAACATATTACTCTGACCAAGTGGCTTTAACACTTTCTGGATAATCTTGTTTTGAAATTTGTAAAGTGATGATAGTACTGCAATTGAACAATGATGTCACGTTTGAATCAGTTATAAGCACCCAGTAAATAAACTCCAAAACAGTTTGTTTTTTTAAGAGTATATGTATTGTTGTCACTGTCAGTATTAAGCCAGTTCACGGGGCGGTGGGGTAGCCTAGTGGTTAAAGCGTTGGCTCGTCACGCCGAAGACCTGGGTTCGATTCCCCTCATGGGTACAATGTGTCAAGCCCATTTCTGGTGTACCCCGCCGTGATATTGCTGGAATATTGCTAAAAGCGGCGTAAAACTAAACTCAGTAAGCCAGTTCACTCACTGCATATTTGTGGACACAAGGGGGCGTTCAGGTCAGTACCTGGCGACACCATCCCTTGCAGCTGTCACTGCTCGACACCGCCTTGGAAAGGATTGCACAAGTCCTCGGATTTTTCCTTGGGGAAACTTTGCCATTCCTGGTTGGCAAGTTCTGCACGTGTCTGAGGACGATGGTGACGTTTACGGACGCGTCGGTCAAGTTCGTCCCACAGATGCTCGAACGGGTTCAGATCAGGAACCGGAGGGAAGGACACTGACGTCTGTATTGACGAGATAGGCACTTGTTACACGAGCTCTGTGTGGTCGAGCGTTGTTCTGTTGACACAACTCCCTCTTGCGGTTACAAATAGGAGATGAGGTCGCAGGATTTGGTAGATGTAGCGATTTGCTGTAGTTGAACCCCCACTAGCTCTGATCTACCTGTGTAGGACATGGCTCCCAACACCATGACGCTCTCTCCACCAAATCTGTCCACCTGTCAAACGGAGTTCGGCGCAAAACGTTCGTGTAGACGTCGATAGACACGTTGTCTCCCATCCCATCGTTGCAGGAGGAAATGCGATTGATCGCTGAACCAAACACATTCCATGTGTTCCCCCGGGTTCCATACCTGTATCCTGTTGCACCATTGGACACGTCGTTGTCGGTTTATTCGTGACAGGACAGGACCAACTTTTGGTCGATATGCTCGAATTCCCACTTCTCTCAGACGATTTCTGATGGTTTGGTGCAGCAAATCGGGGACGAAGGTGAAACACCGGATGAATCGGTCCTCAGCAGGAGTGGTCACTCTTAGGTCGAATTGAAGAGGGTATATCGATAGCATATTCGAGATATGGTGCTGTGGTGGACGTTAAAGTGTCCTGGGAGTCCCCTGCTTCCAAACGTCCAATGGCGATATTCCGGAAAGTAGCATTCAATCTACGCATTTTTGTTATCTCAGTTTGTCATAAATTGCGTAATGAAATGATTAATTTGATTTGGCATTTCATAGTCAATGGTTCTACTCATGTGTTCGACACACTGCTCGGGCATGACGTGGAAAGCCTTTTCTGCCAACAATTTTTCATATATCGTTTTAATTTTTTTTATGACAAACGTTTACAAACACATTTTGGGATGCGTTTGCGCGCAATATATTATATTTATTTCCGGTACTGAAAGGCCACAGGCCTGTAGTACAGTGCATTTATAAATCAATATTTACACTTACACGCACGGATAATATACATGAAGAAGGGAAAATAATCAACTTTAGGTTACATTGTGTTCTGAGATATATTCTGTCCTAAACAACATGGCATAGTAAGCAAACATGGACAAGTTTTGAAGTATAGTATGGGTTTTGTTGTTCAACAATGCTGAGAATGTATAAAGGTTTGGATGGGCACAATAATATTTCTTAATATACAACTTTCTGATGGAATTATAAGCAGGGCAAATTAAAAGAAAATGATATTCATCTTCTATTTGGTTAAGATCACATAGTTTGCAAGTTCTATTTTCTTTTTTGACATTTTTAAATCTTCTACTTTCGATAGATAAATCATGTGAAGAACATCTCAATCTGCTTAACGCTATTCTATACTTTTTTACGTTTAGACATGACAGATAAGTTTCGGAGTCAAAAGTACATTTAAACATCTTATAATACAGACATTTACTGGAAAGTGATATCTTTTCAAACCATTCTTGTAAATAGATATCTTTTAATCTTTGTGTTAGTTCTAAAATAAACTTACCCTCAGAATCAACATACTGATCGTTCCATACAAAACCAAACCCTTTCGAGAATAGAAAATGTCTAACAGCAGAAACCCAATTTGTGTGTCCATTTTTATCGAATAGCATCATCATATTGTAACATTTCTTTGGTAGCCTATAAGAAGGCATCTTCAGTAATTTTAACCAGTATTTTATAACTCTGATATTTGTAAATAAGTGCATCGGGTATTTACCACATTCTCCATACACCATTGTATTCATTGTATTGGATTTAACACCAAGAAATCTTTTACATGCTTTCAATTGAACTCTTTCAATATCACTGTAATAATTCAAACCCCATATTTCGGCTCCATACAATAAAATTGGCTTAATTTTGGCATCAAATATTTTAAAGTATGAACTTATATTTATGTCACCAAGTACATTTAATTGTTTAAAGATACCTATCATGACCTTTTGTGCTTGCAAACAAGCGTAATTAACATGTGTTGTCCAAGATAAACAATTACTAAAGAACATACCCAAATATTTGTACGAACTGGTGCAGGAGTGGTCACTCTTGGGTCGAATTGAAGAGGGTATATCGAGAGCATATTCGAGATATGGTGCTGTGGTGGACGTTAAAGTGTCCTGGGAGTCCCCTGCTTCCAAACGTCCAATGGCGATATTCCGGCAAGTAGCATTCAATCTACGCATTTTTGTTATCTCAGCTTGTCATAAATTGCGTAATGAAATGATGAATTTAACTTTGGCATTTCATAGTCAATGGTTCTACTCATGTGTTCGACACACTGCTTGTGCATTACGTGGAAAGCCTTTTCTGCCAACAATTTTTCATATATCGTTTTAATTTTTTTTATGACAAACGTTTACAAACACATTTTGGGATGCGTTTGCGCGCACTACACAACAACCACGACATGATTAACAGGATTCAAATATAGGAAATGTCGATTGCTGTCAAAATATATCTTAATGAACAGCTGAAAACGCCGATGCGTGTCTTTTTGGAAGAGTGTATTTGTTTCACACTAGTTTGTTTTACATGCATATCAATGATAATCTTGTTTGTTTAATGTTCGTTGTCAAAAGTGTTATGAAGTCAGAATGGCTTATTTATTACTGTTTCAATTCTTCCATACTTATTTTAAAATAAATTTACTTTCCAACAGATGCACTTCTGAAAGTTTAAGTTTACCTGCATAGTACTGCCAGCCCGTGTCCTCTGTTCCTCCTGTGTTGACGAACGACTTGTACAGGCGGCATCGTTTGGACGTTGGGTTGTACAGCAGCATGTTACAAAGGGAGTGTCGGTAGCAACGTTCTCCGCACAATATCCGTTCTTCTACGACGCTCTCAGAGACAAAGGCTTCATTAAATAACAGACCGTCCAAAATTCCATGGCGTTGAAAATAGAATCTGTCACATGATGGAAAGACAGATATCGGTTGACACAACACAAGAGTCAACACATAGAACTTCTCTTTGTACATAGTCATCCTCATGTGATACAAGACCGGAGAAAGACACAGCAAAGACTGACATCAGAGTCAAATCTGCCTCAGAATATACGTAGCTACTGCACCTATCGTCCAGATTCAATCACACGTACAAGACACGGCTTTTTGAGCATCAACAAAGGTGGTGTGTTACTTCGACTGAGATTCCACTGGAGTACAAGTACATGAAAATGTATCATTTGAGTTCATCGATTCTTCATCACATCAATACCAATACGTTCCCTACCGATGTCATGACGCGTCCGTTCTCGCGTCGTCTGTTTTGTTTCCGAATCAATAAGTACATTTGCGCATAACAATGCCCCTATCCAAAGGTACCAGGTTATAGTCAACATTCTCCTCTAACGAGTCCATGAATGAAACATGGGCCCTGGTGCGAGGTATAGAGGCATACATTTATTTTTTCCAAACTTCTTCATCTCAACGATGATACAATATTTAACATTATATCGTTTCAAGTAGAGACAGGGACGAATTCCCAAGCGAATTAGGGATGCAAAAGAATATCCAACAGCACATTCGTCATTCACATTCATGTGTATCATTCTTATTAACAGGCTCTAAGCAAATAGTCAGGCCAGAATGTATTGAAGCCACAAGATTAGTGACAATGGGTTACTGATCGTGTAATGTCGTGGAGTGGAGTGGCGCTTCATTTCAGATACAGTGGTGGAATCAATAAAATCGACAAAAACATTTTCTATCTCCATTGTATAATGCGGACGTAATCACAACGGTAAGGAACATCTAACATTGAGAAAGGAGGCAGCACATTTCGTTATAGAATCTCTAGAAAACAATAGAACAAGCGCCATGAAAGGGCAACGCACGCACACTAACAGATTCAGTAACAGATCACCTTAGGGAAATGGGTTTGGTTAAATTTGCCACTGTTCACCCAGCAGAAAATGGGTACCCGGTGGTATAAGTCATATGTCTACTAACCTTCTAGCGCCTCACAGGCAGCTGTGGTTAACCCGGGTAATAATGTCCTTCATGTTGTATGCACTCGGAGCATGACCCTGCGGCATGGAGTTCAGCGCTATGTAAGTGCCTATATTATGATAATGATTATTATTATTATTATTATTATTATTATTATTTTGTTTGTTATACATACAGAAAATATAGACCCATGTCCTCATACATACAAAAAGCATCAGCACCGATTGCAGCTCGTATGAAAAATATACTACCAACAATCATTAGTGATGATCAAAAGGATGTATGAAGGGAGATATATACTGAGAGAAACAAATATAGAATCACCGGAAAATTCAAGCGTTCCTTAAATATTTTCCTGTTTTCATCACCAGCTTTGAATAGCGCTGTGGTGATGAAAACTGGAAAATATTAAAGGAACGCTTGAATTTTCCGGTGATCCTTTATTTGTTTCTCTCAGTATATTGGCGACTGAACTTGACTCATAGCAGACATAATGCAATACACCGAACAAATGAACATACCAGGCTATCTTATACTAATCGACTTTGAAAAAGCATTTGATTCTGTTGAATAGCAACTTTTTGAAAATTGAACATTTATATGATTTTGGACCCTCTATTACACATTGGATTAAAACATTTTACAATGATATAAAGTCAAGTGTTCTAGTAAATGGTTATTCCAGTGATTGTTTGAATATTTAGAGAGGATGTAGATAAGGTGATCCACTTTCACCAAACCTTTTCCTAATCTGTACAGAAATTCGGGCACACGTGTTGAGGGAAAATAAACAAGTAAAGGGTATTAAACTTTTTTAAATTGAATATTTACTAACGCAATTTGCAGACGACACAACACTTATTCATGATGGAACTAGGAAATGCTCTTGGATCTTGGATATACTTAATATATATGCAGAATTTTCTGGGCTTAAAATAAAAATAGAAAAAAACTAAAACAATATAGATTGGTTCGATGCAATACTCAGGCATTCAAACCTGCAAGACCTTTAAACAAGTTTGCTCTCAGAGACCCTTTACTTTAATCAGTATTCTGTTTCAACACAACCAGGCTGAAATGGTTGAAAGACAAACTAAAACAGGTTGATAAGACAAGGCAATGTTGTTAAGAATTGACCTACGTATCGAGAATCGACCTACGAAGAGACCTACGTATCGAGAATCGACCTACGAAGAGACCTACGTAACGAGAATCGACCTACGAAGAGACCTACGTAACGAGAATCGACCTACGAAGAGACCTACGTATCGAGAATCGACCTACGAAGAGATCTACGTAACGAGAATCGACCTACGAAGAGACCTACGTAACGAGAATCGACCTACGAAGAGACCTACGTAACGAGAATCGACCTACGAAGAGACTACGTAACGAGAAGACCTACGTAACGAGAATCGACCTACGAAGAGACCTACGTATCGAGAATCGACCTACGAAGAGACCTACGTAACGAGAATCGACCTACGAAGAGACCTACGTAACGAGAATCGACCTACGAAGAGACCTACGAGATGTTTATGAATTATGGGCAAATATACAATCTTTACAATCAAATGATGACATTGATACTGAAGCTTCACAACAATGTACATGGGCAAAGGACAATATCATCGTAGGTCAAAAACCAATTATTTATAAACATTACTTGAAGAGAAATTTTAAATTCATGTTCTACTGCAAAAAAATGGTAATTTTCTGACCTATAACGAATTTACTTCCTTATACAAAATTAAGACAAACTGTTTAAAATATAGGGGTATCATCAATTCCATCAAATCATATTTACTTTTTTTTAGACTAACTCTTAGTAGCCATTTATTGATGATAACATACATGTTCTTTACAAAGAACGTGAAGGATGCAAGATTTTCTACTCTGTCCTGCTAAGGAAACATACATTACAAGAAAGGCTAAATCACCAACTTAAGAGGAAAACGGATATCAAAGTAGATGTATCAGAACAATTCTTGAAAGTTTTTAACTTTGTTCCTTTTAGAACAACTTATAATACACAACTTAGACTGACTGACTGAGTTTGGTTTTACGCCGCTTTTAGCAATATTCCAGCAATATCACGGCGGGGGACACCAGTAATGGGCTTCACTCATTGTGCCCATGTGGGGATTTGAACCCGGGTCTTCGGCATGACGAGCCAACGCTTTAACCACTAGACTACCCCACCGCCCCCACAACTTAGATGGCTACAAAATAAACTTGTCCATAGAATCATTAATTGAATACAACCGACTTCTTGTACATTTTGTAATGTTGAGATTGAATCAATTATTCACATATTCTGTGATCGTGTACATGTGATAGATACAGACGCAAGATTAATTCTGGATACATATCATTTTTTGGATATAAAGAAAACCGAAATGAGGTAATAAACCTTGTTACCATCGCAACAAAATACTAAATATGTGCAAAGAGATGTTCTAATTTGCATCCATAGTTGGATTAAAAATTACTTACATGCCCTGTATGATATTGACAACTGTACTGCCTTTTCGCACTGTAACTACGGTAAATTCTTCACCTTTTGGTCATCTTGCCATAACCGCTTCACATAAATTACAATAAAAATGTGTTCTTCTGGCCTTGTATCACCCTACGGATTCTCTACCACCTGTGTCCACAATATTGATCGGGTTAATCGGATGAAAGACTGGTAGTGGCCCGATGTCTGTCCTCCATATTCATCGGCGGCGTCCGACTGATCCGATTGCGGTCGGATTGTAATTCGAGGGTGACCTGACACTACCCTGAGACTTCCAACACTCTCCCAACACCAATCCGACAAATCGGTTACTGTGGGTAATGGGACACTGACCCAATACTGGTCGGAATTGTCGCCACAATCGACAGTCCAGTATTAAATGCGGGCTGCACCTCCTCACGGTACTAGTCATGGATCAACTTCCTCCCAACGCTGCAGCCCTGGGCCTTGTTTTATGCTATGCAACAAGATGCAGTGACCCTTGAGGTCCTGAGAAGGAGGCAGAGAAGACCACGTCGTTATTGGGTTCGACCATGGCTGCAAGCTGATAGAAGGCTGTTATATGGGCACTACACCAGACTCATGAATGAACTGAGAATGGATGATACAACGGCACTCTTCAAATACTTGAGAGTTACGCCAGAATGTTTTGATGAACTACTCCAGAGACTCGCACCAAGACTCACGAATGGTGATACCAATGCCGGGAGAGCCCATGAACCTGGTCTCAAGTTAGCCTGCACCCTTGCAGCTGGCGATCGGTATCCATCACTGTCATACAGCATCAGGGTTGCTCGGGAAACCATTTGCAAGTTTATCCCCCGAAGTCTGTCAAGCCATAGTGGATGAGTATGCTGATGAAGTGATAGTGTCCCACCACTGAACAAGAATGGCATTCAATTGCTGAAGAATACGAGAGGCGTTGGAACGTTCCACATGTAATGGGGGCACTTGATGGCAAGCACGTGGCACTAAGGAAACCGAAGAACTCAGACAGTCTCTATCATAATTACAAACATTTCTTCTCAGTGGTCCTCATGTCACTTGTTGATGCGAACTACCGGCTCCTGTAGATAGACACCTCTGGTCAAGGACACATGTCTGACACACAGATATACAATGCATCCGAGCTCAAAGAGACAATGGACAGTGGTCAAATAGGATTCCCCCACCTGAGCCAATGACCAATGACAACCAGAACATGCCATACTTCATGATCGGGGATGACGCCTTTGCTTTTATGAGCGCACATAGTGAAGCCCTACTCGAGAAAGAACTTGACACGTACAGAGCAGATATATCGCATAAGTAGAGCCCGAATAGTCGTGGAGAACGCTTTCGGAATACTGGCAGCCAGATTCCAGTGTCTTCTAGGAACATTACAGCAAGTACCTGACGTTGTGCGTAACATCATCGAAACATGTGTCTGCCTCCACAACCTGATCCGAATACGACACCCAGCCACGATCCATGGTCGGCTGGATACAGAGGATGCAAACCACAACATCATACCTTGAGAATGGAGGAACATGGCTCCCAAACATGAAGTACCAGCTCGCATAGGACCCTTCCGCGACACA